TTCTGTAAGAATTCCCAGGTATATAATAGAACTGACAAGAGACAGGTTTGTAGTCACTTCTTGGCCAGAGCCAGCCACCCAGAGGGAGCCAATAGTCACAGGGGACATGAAGCTCAAGTGGCATAACATACTACACAAAACATTGTTCCACATCCTACTTTGGTGAGCAGTGACTGGGATCTTAAAAGCTTGTAAGTGGCCATCTCCTCGTCTAGAGCAAAGAAGAATGAAGAAAACCAAAGATGCATGGAAGTAATTAGTCTGAGGGACTGGTACACCATGCGATCCACAGCCTATATGACTGAGACCAGAAGAACTAGATGGTGCCTGGCTACCACTGTCAACCCCTCGGAGGGGGATCTATGTAGGAGATCCTGGATAGAGAGGGAGGACAATGTGGGACAAAACCCAAAATCATTAATTAAAAAAAGGGGGGGTGACAAGTTTTGCTGGTCTGATGGAGCCTGATGGAATCACTGAGACTATGGCTCCTAGCTGCCCTTCAGGTTTGGAATTGAACCCATACCTGTGGCTTCCAGCCAAACAAAAGACAAGCATGTGAGGTGAATATTTACATTAGATAGATACACTCCTTGGAAAGATCAATCAAGGGAGAATAGAGAGGCTGTGTATGCACAGGGAGACAGCTCAGGGGGCAGGAGCGCATGGAGGGAAGGACACAGGGAAGAGGTAAGTATGGGGTGGAAGTGGGAGGGGAGCTGTTGCATTGTGGGAAATTGCAGTCAATGTCAAGAGACAGAGTGTATGTGAGCTGCTGTATGGAAAGTGAATTTGCTCTGTAAACTTTCACCCAAATCACACACACACACACACACACAGACATACACACACACAAATATACCCTGTGACCTATGGCTGTAAGACCACCTTTGATGTAATAACTGAAAAGAAATGGAATTTTAAATGTGCATGTGATTACAATTGCACTTACAAAAAGAATATCTAGTAAGGATTAAAGAGCTCATCATGGGTCAAGCTCTGCAAAAGTACTTAAAGGCTCAAGTCATTTAATTTCACACTGGCAAGGGTAAGGTACAGCTCACTCACTAACTAACTAACTCACTGCTGTCAAGTCAGATGTGACTCATAGCGACCTCTCCCTGGGTTTCCGAGGCGGTATCATTACAGAAGTAGATTGCCCAACCTTCCTTCCAAGGAGTGGCTGGTGGGTTTGAACTGCCAGCCTCTGGTTAGCAGACAGCTCACTAGTCATCCTCTTATTACAGATGAGGAGGGGGAGGCCCAGAGAAGCCAGGGACAAGTCCAAGGTCACCCAGCTGGAAAGTACAAATGTGGGGATTTGAACCCAGGCTGTCTGACTCCAGTATGAGAACCGTCCCGTTTCTTTGACATGACACATGTGAAGTGTCTGAATGCAGTGGTATTCAGCAGAGGAAGGTAGCATCCTAATAAGAAATTAATAAATTATTTTATCATCATTATTTTGACTGTGACCTCCTCTGGACCTCGCAGGGGTTGGCGGGAAGGGAGGAAGATTTACCATTCAGGGTTTGGGGGAGGGGGTGAGGATGCCAGACTCGAGGTCCGGAGGCAGAACTGGTGGTAAGGGAGGGTGCACTCTGACAAGATGCTGTAGCACAGGTGGTGAAAGCGGAAATCAAGTAGATAAACTTCTCAGAATTTGAAAACTAGGCCAGTGGCCTGGGCTAGGGGCCTCCTGCCCCATAGTTTATCTGCAATCATACTGGGGTCTAGGTCTCCTATTGCACCAGCCTCGTCCCCCTCCCGTCCCTCACCCTTTCCTTCCTCCTCCTGCTGCTCCCTCTTCTTCCTCTCCCCCTCCTTCCTCTGCTTTCTACCTCCTGCCTGCCCTTTCCCCCTCCTTCTCCTTTTACCCCTCCCCCTCTTTCCCTTCCCTCCTCCTTACACCTGCCCCCTCCCCACCTTGTCCCCTTTCAACTCTCTCCTCCTTGTCAAGGCTTGGAGGTCGCTCTCAAGAACATCTTTGGAGGCTAAAGTTAGTGAGAGGTTCCCTCCCCAGGAGGAAGTTGGTGGTTTTTATAAATACATTGTCCCAACACCTTGATCTCCCCATCAAAACCACGGAAACAGAAAAGCTATGATGAAAATAAGGAAACTCCAGTGGGGGCTGGGGCCAGGCAACTGGGGCTGTCCCACCTCCTACCAGCACAGCAAGGGAAGGAGGTGAAACTCTGAACCACTTGGAACAAGGAGACAATGACACTCCTGCCTGGGACTGAAGTATGTGATAAGGATGCAACTCACAAGTTGTTGTTGTTATGTGCCATGGAGTCAGACCAAACTCATAGCACCCCTCCTTGGGTTTCTGAGGCAGTATCACTATGGAAGCAGATTGCCCAATCTTCCTTAAACACCTATCACCATGGTGTCAATTCCTACCCATTGAGACCTTGTAGGACAGAGTAGAACTGCCCCACAGGGTTGCCAAGGCTGTAAATCTTTACAGAAGCAGATGGCCACATCTTTCTCCCACGGAGCCACTGGTGCATTTGAGGATCAACTGTTTGGTTAGTAGCCAAGCGCTTAACCACTGCGCCACCAGGGCCCCTTCACAAGATGCTACTCTTCACCAGAATCAGCACACTTAAAGAGCTCTTATCATACCTCAGGCACCGGGCCAGTTTCCTAGCCTGATCTTAATCTCTGTAACAAACTAAGAGGCAAGTGCTGTTATAAATGCCTTTTGACAGATGAGGGAACTTGGGCAGAGAGGTAGAGAGAGTTGCTCCAGGTCACACAGCCAATAAGTGGCAGAGTACAATTAGATCCCAGGATTGTCTGACTGCAAAGCCTGTTTTCTTCACCCTATGCTATGCAACAATGATAATAACGATATAACCATTCATTCGCCTCATCCTAGGTCCTAGGAACTAAGACCTCCCTCCAGCCACCGTGGTACACGGTCATTTGCACAGACCAACCAATGTGTGAGGCATTGTTACTACCTCTGGTCTTGCCTCTATCCTTCACCCTCCCCGGTTCCAACTTACCCCAAGCTTCCAGCTGGTTTGCAGACTGTCATTGTGTCCCGGATGTCTGCAGTAAGGGTCCCTTGCAGGATGTGACCTCTACCCTAACAGAGATTGTGGATTTGAGGGGGAAATAGACGTGTGCATGAGGGCTCTGGTTAACCCTGTGCTTTGTACGTTGGGGTTGGGCCAGCACAGCTCAAGTTCCTCATGTGTAAAATGACCTTCATGGATCACTACCCCCAACCCTCCGTTTTATGAGCAGCCACCTATTTGGGGCTGACCTTACCCCTCTGCTTAACTCTCCCTTTCCCCATGGGAAGGAGGTGGGGAAAGGAACCTGACAACTCTGCCCCGCCTTTCCCAGCCAGTGTCTCCCCTTAAGAACTTGACAGACCCAGGTGCACATGTTTGCATTTATTTTAAGGACCAGTGGTCAAAGGCTGGGGCTGGGAACAAGGTCTGGTTCTAATGCCAGCCTATGTCAGTCTTCACAGGGGAGGAACCTCAGGCCAGGTTGTGTGTGTGTGATATTGTGTGTCTGTCATTGTGATTCTGTGTACATAGGTGGGTTGGATTGTGATGCCGCTTGTGGAAGTCTGATGGGATGGTTGTGACTGGGTGTGACTGTGATGCTGTCTGTAACTTGAGTATGATTGTGTATGACCAGTGTGACTACAAGTAGTGTTTGGGACTGTGGGTGCAACACTGTCTTGTGACTTGTGTGTGATTGTATCATACGTGGTCATAACACAGTGTCTATGACTGTGCGTTTGCAAAGCTGCGACTTGTGTGCAGTTGTGTGGTTGTGTGTGACAGGAGTGACTTGTGTGGCTGGTTGCAGGGTTGTGGTCTGCCTTGCATGTGTTTGTGTGGCTATGAATGATGGCTGTGACCATGAGGTGGTGTCAGTGACTGTGTCCTTGCAACATTGTCTTGTGACTTGTGTGTGACTGTGATGTATGCAGTTGTAACACTGTCTGTGACTGTGATGACGTGACCTGTGTGCTTGTGTGTGACTGTGCAGCTGTGTGTGAATGTGATGCTCTGAGTGTCCAAGTCTGTGGTTGTGTAAGAGTTCCTGAGGCTGTGGAGCTGTGTGGTCAACTTCCTGCCATGCTGTAGGCGTGACTACATCTCCATTTGCTCTTTCTTTCCACCAGCAAACACTTCCCTGGTGCCTGCTCATGCCAGACCATGGGCCGGGTGCTGGGTTTGCAGCAGTGGCCAAGACCACTATGGTCTCCACTCAGTGGAATCTCCACCCTAGTGGGACGTGTGTGCTTAGCAGTGGTGTGATGAAGTCAACTGGTGGATGATACATAGTAGCTAGAAATCAGCCATGATGGCTGGATTTACACCATGGAAATTGGCAAACACTACAAAGCTGCCCCCTCCTAGGAGAGCTGGGTGTTAAATGTTAACATTTAACATTGCTGGGCTTATGTCTCTGGGTATCATGTTGAGGGACCAGGCTGAAGTGTGGCCACAAGCCTGTGGGTGGGACTCGAGTGTGTGATTAGGACTGTGGGTGGGGCTGGGCTGGGCCCTTGACAGAAATGAGTCCTGATGATGAATCTCCCCCCACCCACACTCATGAGACGGGGTAGGCGGTGACATTTCCTTTCTCCAGCCAAGTCCCTGAACCCCCAAGTCCCACTTTATTCTGAAGCAAAGCATAAATTCCCTCCAGTCCTTCTCCCTGAATATCAGGCAGATCAGCTTTACCCCAAATTTGGGGACCCACAGGACCCCCAAGTCTCTGGGTCTTTGGCTTCAGTGTTGTCCATGACAGAATCTGAAGTCCTTGGTCCTCTTGGAGATGCCTGCTGGCTCTTTAGTCTTGCAAGTGGCTTAGTTCTTGGTCCCTGGTGGTGCCCACTGAGTTCTCCATCTGCTGAGTTTGGGGTTTCCCAGGTGCCCCTCAAGATTGCTTTGGGCTAGGTTCTCTGTCTCCTGAGGCACCCTCTGAGGTCCCCGCCTGCCAGACCCCCATTCAGTCCACCATCACACCATGAATGCCCCGAAGTAAGACCGCGTTCCATCCCGGAGTCTGACCACACGCTCCTGTGGCACACGGACAACCACCTCTTCCCCGGCCTCCAGGTGTACCACGCCACCCAGGAAGCTGCTGTCCCACCAGACGCGGGGGCTGGCCGACCGCCCACAGGGTGACCGCCGGCTGACCAAGAGCTCCAACTCCTTGGGGTAGCGGGGTGTGCGCTTGTAGAGGCCGTGGGTGACAGGCAGGCTTCCGGGCAGCCCCTGTGGGCAGCCCACACCACCCAGCTGCACCTTGGAATAGATGTAATAGTAGCCAGCTTGGGACATCACCAGGGCCCCATTGCGGTAGTCAAGGCCCCTCAGGAAGGCCAGGCCTAGCTGTGTCTCCCACAGCAGTGGGCCACCTTTGCCCGTCAGACTGGCATTGGCTCCTGGGGAGAGAGGGGAGGAAAGGGGTTAGTCTACGTCCCAGGCTTGCTGCAGGACCCCAGGCTATTTCCCACCCCTTCCAGCCCCTCCACCCTGATGCTATGTGAACTCAATTCCTCCCCAGTTTGCAGGGGACCCTGCTGCACAGAGGCCAAGTCATTTGCTCACACAGATCTTAACTCAGCCCAGCCCTGTTTTGCAGGTGGGGACACTGAGGTACAGTTGTTGGATGGGTGCTGTTCAGTCGATTCCAGCTCACAGTGACCCCAGGTCACAGGGTAGGACTGCCCCACAGGGTTTTCTTGGCTGTCATCTTCACAGAAGCACACTGCTACATCTTTTTCCCTCAGAGCCGAGGGGTGGGTTTGGTTGGCAGCCAAGTGCTTAACTGTTGCACCACTTGCTTTACAAAGGGGAAACTGAGGCACAGGTGATTAAGTGACTTGCCCAGGGCGTCAAAGTGCTTAAGTGGCAGAACCAAGTCAGTACACTCTAATCCAGTAACCCCTGTGTGCCTCAGTTTCCGTCCCTGGATATGGAGCTGTTGGCAGTGCTAGGTTATGGTTTGCTGAACCTGTGCCTGGCATATAGTAAGCACTATACAGCATTTATTAAAGGAACAAAATGAAAAATGCATGGGCCCAAGCCCTGAGTCGTTCCATGAACACATATTGAATGAATGAGTGAGTGAGTGAGTGAGTGAGTGGAGGTTGTCCCACGCGATCAGTGTCCCAAGGAAGCAGAAGTGTCTCCGAGCCTGATAGAGCCTGGTGAGACCACCAAGACTATGGTCCCTGGTTACCCTTCAGGTCTGGAATTGAACTCACTTCTGTGGCTTCCAGCCAAATAGGTATATGGGGTGAGCATTTACATCAGGTAGCTAGCTACACTCCTTAGAACAGTCATGGGAGAACAGAAGGGCAATGAATGCACAGGGAGCTAGCTCGGGGGCAGGAATGCACAGGAAAGAAGGACACAGGGAAGAGGGAACTACAGGGAGGAAGTGGGAAGAGAGTTGCTACATTGTGGGGAATTGCAGTCAATGTCATGAAACAAAATGTGTATGAACTGCTGTATGGAAAATGAGTTTGCTCTGTACACTTTCACCCAAATCACAATAAAAACTAAAAAAAATTTTTAAAAAGAATGGTCTCCAGATATGTTGGGGGGTCTCTCTGGTCTCCCCTGGACACCCAACACCTCCTCCTGGGCTGACACCTGGGGTCCTCTCACCTGTGAGGTGTGCCGCTGGGTTGGTCTGGTGGGGCCTCCGTTCTGGGGAGAGAGGATCAGGGTCAGAAGTGAAGGCAGTGGGAGGTCAGGCCAGCTCCAGAGCCCAGCAGAACTGGCACCTCCCAAGGGGTCATTGAGTCCATCTCCTGGTGCCAACCCCACCCTTCCTGAGTGGTCCGGACTTCTGCTTCTCAGGCCAGGGGGGAGGGGCACCTGTAGGGCTGGGGCCAGTTATGCAAATGGTGTTGAGCAATGGGTGGGGGTGGGGGCAGGGTGGGAATCATACCTCCCTTCCCCCCCCCCCCCCCCCCCCCCCCCCCCCCCCCCCGCCCCCCCCCCCCCCCCCCCCCCCGCCCCGGCCCTGGCTTACCTTGAACCAGCTGCTCCCAGGAACCTGCGTCCCCGACCTGAAAATGCAGAGTAGCACACGGTGAGGACCTGGGGCCCACGCCCTGATGTTATGCAAATGCCCCAATATCATACAGACACCTCACTATCAACCCAAACTCACTGCCATTGAGTTGGTTCCAACTCATATTGACCCTAGAGGACAGAGAACTGCCCCAGAGGGTTTCCAAGGCTGTCATCTTTATAAAAGCAAACTGCCACATCTTTCTCCTGGTGGATTTGAACTGATGACCTCTCAGTTAGCAGCTGAGAGCTTAACCACTGTGTCACCAGGGCTCTTTCTAATATCACACGGGCACACTCATGCTACACAGATGCTCTGACATCACGCAGACACCCTTCTATCAGACAGACATGTGGACATGAGACCTACAGACCATGGTCACAGCCACCACCCTCAGACATGTACACAGAACCTCGTGTACACCCCCTAGCTGGCAGCCTCGTAACCTCTCTGTGCCTCAGTTTCCCTCTCTGGAAATGGAGCTTTTCACAGTATCTGCTTAGGGTTAATAACTAAGCCATGGAAAGCAGATCCAGTGCCCAACACCTGTTGATGCTGCTGGCTGGTGTGGAGCCGGCCCCTGACTGCGGTGACCCCGTGCGCAGCGGAAGAAACTCTGCCCCGCCTGCACCGTCCCCGCGATGGGCTGACTGCGGTGACCCTGTGCCCACAGGGTTTCATTGGCTGGTTCTCAGGAGACCTCCAGGCCTTTCTTCCTCGTCTGTCTCAGTCTGGAACCAGCTGAAACCTGTCCAGCATCCTAGCAGCACACAAGCCCCCCCGGACAGACAGCTGGGGGCTGTGCGTGAGGTGCACTGGCCGGGAATGGAACCCGGGTCTCTCACAGGGAAAGTGTTTACTAAATAAATAAAATTAAACACATCTGGAAGCCCAGACATCTGGACACAAACACTAAAGCTTGGATATGGCCATGCAACACAGGTCACAGACCTCAACATTTACCTATGTGTAGGTCTGTAAGACACTTGTGGGCATATGGTTGATGGATGATGTGGGTCGGTAGGCTCAGAGACCCAGGAACACAGACACACGACATCAGCACATAGACTGCAGACAGGTGGGTACAGGGACACACAGCCACATGGCCACAGGATGACAGCACAGGTCCACATGGACACACAGACAGACATGGGGACACCAGATCCAGACACAGGGAGGACGTGGGGACAAGGGACACAGAAGGACATGACCATATGGTCCTGGCATTGGACACACAGACACACACAGAGACTCACAGGCTTGGCTGACAGAGAGACAGATCCACAGGGCACCAGAGGAAACAAGACAGTTTGTGGTTGATTCCGACAGGATTAACAACCATCGCAATCAAGGTGATAATGGAAAGGCTAATAATAGCAATAATTCATAACACTGGGAGTCCCCGGGTGGCGCGAACGGTTATGCCTCCACTAGCCTAAAGGTTGGCCGTTCAAACCCACCGTAGACGTTCCTGCAAAGACAGGCCTGG